AGAACCTCAATAGCATAAAACTACGAATTCAGGTATCCCAATCTTTTTTATCAATAATTGTATTTGACGAAATTAAAACAAAAAGTTTCAGGTTAACATAACAAAGACGGTCAGTTACTATATGCAAAGTAAAATGTTAGTTGGGTTTCTGTAAAAAAAAAAAACAACCAACTTTTTTTTAGAGTTAGTAAACCCCTGGCATAAGAAAGTAATTTTTTTTTACAGAATTGATCTCTATAAGGAGAGGGTTCTACAAAGAAAAAAACACAAAACTATACAGGTACACAGTACACAAAACTCAGGTGGGTACTCCAAAAAAAGAATTGAAAGTATAAAGTAAGTAAAAATACCTATCTACAACCATTCTTGTTAGGTGGTTTGCTTGGGCTTTGGATGATGCTTTGGGGCGTTTGGGCTTTGGATGGTGCTTTGGGCTTTGGATGGTTCGCTTTAAGCTTTGGGGCTTTGGATAGTTCGCTTTGGGCTTTAATGGTGCTTTGGGGCTTTTGGATGGTGCTTTGAGACTTTGGATGATATGTCTTCTAAATTTACACAACAAAAAAACCCCGATTTTATATAACAAAAAAGATCTTACTAATCGACCAATGAAAAATACAAATTTCTAGATCAGGTAGATCAGGTAACGTAAATCACGCTTTTGGAAAAACAATCGTATAAACAAAATAAACAAAAAACCCACTCACAAAAAATTTTCTGGCACGTGAATTTAGCTAATTAGATAAAAAGATTAGGATACCTGAATTCGTAGTTTTATGCTATTGAGGTTCTCACATCTCAAAATGTCTAAAATTAAAAAAATGTGAGTTAATATAGAATTTGCCAAAAAATATTTATATTTATTTATTAATTAATTTACTTATTACTTTTATTTTTTTTTTAGATTCACTCATGTATATTTTGAATTCTGTGAAGACACAGGTTGCTTTTATTATTCATTGCAAGGAGGACCCTACGATGGGCCTCTTGGTTCTTCAGTAAAATTCTAGAGGGCTAAGCATTATCGATAGTCTTCTAAGAAAGGTACCTTTGTTGAGATAAAATTTGAAAACCCGAAGTCTGATTTTTCTTATTTTTAAATTTAAAAAAAAATAATGTTAACATATTAATAATAGTATCTTCATCCTAGTAATCTGGTCATTCTCATTTCTGGATATTTGGTTGTCTCTGCTTCCACTTCAGAACACTTGGTCATCTCTGCCTCCGCTCCAAAACACTTGGTCGCCTCTGTCTCTACTTCAAGACATCTGGTTGCCTCTATTTCTGCTCCTGCTCCTGCTCGTGACTCGTTAGAAAAACAAGTTCAACAGCTTGAAAGGCTGTTCTATGAGCTTGAAAGTTGCGTAATGGAATTTGAAAAGCAAAAAAGAAGAAAAGTCAATAACAAATGATTTTTTTTAAAAAAAAATTCTTGTATTTTGTTTTTTTTTTTTTTAATTGGTTTTTTTTTTTTAAAAAAAAAATTTTAAATGTTTTTTTTTTCAAAAAAATATATTTATATATGTATATATAATTGATTGTGATTTTTTTCAATTCTTCAAAATGAAAAGCGATTATTGTATTCTTGTTTTCACTTTGTGTTGGTCTTTCGGCTTTTCGTTTATTTTATTATTTTTATAATCTCATTTTTTATTTCCTTTTTTTTTTATCTTGTTAATTTTTTTTCCTTTTCTATTTTTTGGGAACTCACACCTTCAAATTTTGGACTTTATTCTTTAAATCAAAAAAAACTCATTATTTTACACCATTATCTCTACATTACTTAATTTCGATTTATATATATAACTTATAGTTTGTGACATTACAAAAACAACTCATACTATATATTACTATATTATTGCT